AGATGAATTTGTTCTGACACAGTTTAACTCTGAGTTCTTGTCATATTTTATTATCATTTTCTAAACTCTAGCAAATAAACTTTGATAATGTGAGAAATGGGCCCACTGGTACAACCTGCACTGGGGCCCCGCAAACCCCAGCCCTGCGCACAGCACAGCAGTGTAGCACACATTGATTGGCACATCGCAGTCAGGCAGAGAGCCACAGAAGTGAAGCCCTCCCTCCCTTTCCAGTTGTGTTTGTCTTGGTGTGGAGGTGAGTGGTGATGAACAAAAGACTAAGCTACCTGTGCCTCGAATTTACAGCTAATTATACAAAAAAAGCAAATATAGTTAATTTGTCTTGCTAACCTCCATGACTCATGAGCTACCATGTAATAAGTTAGCTAAAGTTTAGCTAAGGCAATATATCATGGACATACAGGCTAACTTAATGGAGAAACAACAGCTGAATACAGTCAAATTAATAATGTCATCAGAATCGCCACTTTGATATGCAAATCAGGCATTAAGTAATTCAAATGTTCTAATTTGCATACATTTGACACAAGGCATTGCAGATGAATAGGATAAACAAAGTAACTAAAGCATATCACCACAGAATTTCCCCAGCTATTAGTTAATGACTTGCATCAAGAGTCTTTTCCCTTGAAATGTTATGTTTAAATGTGCAGATAGCTTGTTTTGGTTAATTTAGAAGAAATCTACAGAAGCAAACAGAGGAGGGTAGTAGGCTTAAAACGAACACCTTAATGTGTATTTTGGAAATTTCCTTCCCATTAGAGCAAAAGAAGACATGGAAGCAAAATATACCAAAATCTCAAATTTGAACAGTACATGAAGTGCCCTGACTCCTGCCTTAAACAATAAATTCATAATTTTGATCTGAGGTTCCTCATCTAATAACTATCCATTCTATAAATATGTTGTATGCTGATAGATCTTAACAGCCCTCCCTCAAATGTGAAACAAAGTTCTTGTCACCATCAGTTTGAGTGTGTGTGTGTGCATGGTACAGTGCTAATGCACAGTAATTATAACAACATTGTGAACTGATTATTTTGTAGACATCTGTTGAAAAATAAAACAACATGAAACAATTAGGGGAGTGTGAGGGAATTAAAATAAATTGGTAAGTCAGAGTTGTGTTAATATATTTAAAGTTTTGTTTAGAATTTTTTTTTTATAAATATGAGAAGTGCCCTTTTTTCCACTTGAGCCCCTGCCCCTCAAAATGTCCGTGCACGTCTCTGGTAGCTGTGATTTTTCACAAACCGTTGTGACTTCCGTAAAAAGGTGACGTCAGAACTACTCAGTCACTGCCTTCAGTCACCACCCTGAGCACTGCCCACAGTCCCACTCTCCTTTTGCCAAACCCCCAGACAACATCCCTTCCATGCCATTGCTGAGCAACAACAACACGGAAACATGTCGAGAAAACGCTGTTCAGTCTGGATGTCAGGAAACTACATCACTGCATATTAGGGCTGTAACGGTCGCCGTGACAACCGCGTCAACCGTTGTCTATTGCCACCGGCGGTAGTGCACGTGACGTCACACACTCTATAACAAACATAATACAAAGTTTTGTATACAAGTGTAATAATAGTAACAGTTGCACAAGTCTACGCTAATTCACAAATTACCTCAAACGCCATACACGTCGTTTGATCCTTTAGATTGGCATGTTTGAGCGCAGGAAAATACAGTACCTAATACAGAAACCAAATACTACATCGCCAATCTGGAATAATTTCTTCAGTCACCACCCCGAGCACCGCCCACCGTCCCACTCTCCTTTTGCCAAAACCCCAGACAACATCGCGTCCATGCCATTGCTGAGCAACAACAACACGGAAACATGTCGAGAAAACGCTGTTCAGTCTGGATGTCAGGAAACTACATCACTGCATATTAGGGCTGTAACGGTCGCCGTGACAACCGCGTCAACCGTTGTCTATTGCCAC